CCAGGCTGGAGTGCAATGGCGCGATCTCCTCTCACCGCAACCTCCGCCTCCTGGGTTCAAGCAGTTCTCCTGCCTCAGCCTCCTGAGTAGCTGGGACTACAGGTGTGCGCCACGATGCCCAGCTAATTTTTTTGTATTTTTAGTAGAGACGGGGTTTCACCATGTTGACCAGGATGGTCTCGATCTCTTGACCTCGTGATCCACCCGCCTCGGCCTCCCAAAGTGATGGGATCATAGGCGTGAGCCACCCTTTTTATACAATAAGCTTATATAGTTCATTTACTTTCAGAGGTTAAGTAAATTGAAGCTAGAAACAATTGTTAAATTATATTTAGACAAAATAACTGATTAGACATTCATAGGACTTATTAAGGGAAATTGGATACTCTGAAGTATATTGCTAAAAGTACTCTTCGATAGCCTGGATGTTACTTGAGAAAGTTGAATCTCATTGAACACAGTATTGCTAACTTTTTTTTTTTTACTTTCAAGCGTAGTTTGTTTATCCACCGGAATTTTCCAGTGTTCACTTTCCCTTAAAGCTTTAGTCATAATTAATATATTGAATTGAGGTAACTTTTGTTATTCATGCATTTATTTATTTTCAAAGATACAATATTTTTAGCTATGCTGTCAACATTTTGTAGTCTTTATACTTCAGTGGTCACATGTGAAATGCTGAAGAGCAACCGTTAGAGTATTAGGTTTATAGGCTTTCTTTATCCCTTCTTCTCTTCTCACTTTTTTTTTCTTTTAACTAAGCCATATGCTTTCAAACTTCTGCTTGTGTTGTGAAATAAACTCTCTACACTGATTTGAATCAGTTTGTTATTCTTTTAGTAATTGCTTAGGAATCGTCATGTCCCTGGCATTTATGCTTTTAAATTCATTTTAAATCTGCCATGTAATTTGGGGAGGAGCTTTTAGAATAGAGGCAATTCAATCATGATGTGTTTTCATGTAATACCTGGTACTCAAGATGCTTATTAAGTTTAAGTTATTTAGAATTCAAAGCCTGATAAAAACTCAGCAAGATGGACATGAAATCCAGTTTGTGATTTGAGGTAGTTTTCTCTTCCTGGGTCATAGTTTTCCATAGCTACTTTGAAACCAATCAGTTTTATATTTTGCCAATCTAAGCAAAAGTTAATCATGAAGGTATATCTTTATTTATTTATTTATTTTGAGACAGAATCTCACTCTGTTGCCCAGTTTGGAGTGCAATAGTGTGATCTTGTCTCACTGCAACCTCTGCCTGCCAGGTTCAAGCAGTTCTCCTGCCTCATCCTCCTGAGTAGCTGGGATTACAGGTGCGTGCCACCACACTCAGCTAATTTTAAAAAAAAAAATTTTTTTTTTTTTTTGAGACGGAGTTTCGCTCTTGTTACCCAGGCTGGAGTGCAATGGCGCGATCTCGGCTCACCGCAACCTCCGCCTCCTGGGTTCAGGCAATTCTCCTGCCTCAGCCTCCTGAGTAGCTGGGATTACAGGCATGCACCACCACGCCCAGCTGATTTTTTGTAGTTTTTTAGTAGAGACGGGGTTTCACCGTGTTGACCAGGATGGTCTCGATCTCTTGACCTTGTGATCCACCCGCCTCGGCCTCCCAAAGTGCTGGGATTACAGGCGTGAGCCACCGCGCCTGGCCCCCTTTTTAAAATTTTTAATAGAGACGGAGTTTCACCATGTTGGTCAGGCCGGTCTCAAACTCCTGACTTTGTGATCTGCCAGCCTCAGCCTCCCAAAGTGCTGGGATTAGCGTGAGCCACTGCGCCTGTCTGGTTCTGTTGACTCTTAGAACTATAAAAAACATACACTGTTTTTCGGAAAAAAAAAATAGACTATTTATCTTATCATATTCATGGTCAGATGTCACCGTATTTTCTTGGTATGACAGATTTACACTTAGAAAGCTCCAAAATAGAGTATTAGCCATGGTACTTTTTTTTTTTTAAGTCAACTATTTTAGGATATTATTGACATAAAAGGCTGTCTTTTTAAGCTTGCAGTTCAGTAAGTTTTGACAAATTGTATACATTTTTGTGTAACCACTACCACAATAAAAAATATGGAACATTCCTGTCAGCCTCAGTATCACTTGTTCAACCCCTGGAAACCACTAATGTTTCTGTGAGTGACCATACTTTACATTGTTTAAAATGTTGTCTAAGCCGCGTGCAGTGGCTCACACCTGTAGTCCCAGCACTTAGGGAGGCTGACGCAGGTAGATTGCCTGAGGTCAGGAGTTCGAGACCAGCCTGGCCAACATAGTGAAATCCCGTCTCTACTAAAAACACAAAAAATTAGCTGGGCGTGGTGGCAGGTGCCTGTAATCCCAGCTACTAGGGGGGCTGAAACAGGAGAATCGCTAGAACCTGGAGGCGGAGGTTGCAGTAAACCAAGATCACGCCATTGTACTCCAGCTTGGGCAACAAGAGTTAAACTCTGTCTCAAAAAAAAAAAAAAAAAAGTCCTCTAAATTAAATCATGTAGTAGATAGCCTTTTGTGTCTGTCTGATATCACATAGACCAATGCTTTTGAAATTCATGCGTATCGTTTCATGCGTCAGAAGTTTATTTCTTTTTATTACCAAGCAGTAGTCCATTCTATGAATTTACCATAATCTGTTAAATCATTTTGCCTGTTATAGATAAAGCTATTATAAATATTCGTGTAAAAGTCTTTGCATTAACATCTTTCTTCATTTCTTTTGGGTAAATAAATACCTAGGTAGTGCAGTTTGGGTCATATGTTAAGTACAGGTTTAACTTTATAAGAAACTGCCAAACTGTTGTGGAAGTAGCTATTACATTTTGTACTCCCACCAGCAATATCTGAGATTTCTAGTTGTCCCACATTCTCACCAGCTTCTGATACTGTCAGTTGATACCTTTTCATGTGCATATTTGCCAGTCTATACATCTTTGGTGAAGTATTCACCCATTTTTTAAATTGAGTTGTTTGGATTTTTTTTAATTATTGAGTTTTGAGAGAGTTCTTTATATATTTTGGGTAGAAATCCTTTGTATTTTGCAAATATACAAAGTGTATATTTTGCATATACTCCCCCTCCCCTCTCCCCTCCCCTTCCCCTTCCCTCCTCTCCCCTCCTGTCTACCCTCCGTCCCCTCCCCCTCCTCTTCACTCCTCTCCCCTTCCCCTTCCCTTTCCCTCCTCCTCCCTCCTCCCCTTCCCTCCCTTCTCCTCCCTTCCCCTCCCTTCTCCTCTCTTTTTTAATTGAGATGGGGGTCCAGCTTTATTGCCCAGGCTGATCTAGATCTCCTGAGCTGAAGCAGT